GATTTAAAGCACCAGCGTCTCCTGTCCAGACCCGGCTGCAGGGCGCAGCGGGGACACACAGACTATGCTGTGAGCAATCCAGCCTTACACAGCAACAAAGAGGGCAGAGAGAGTCAGGCCCTTCTCCTTCAGGGAACAGGCCCTCTGCGCCCCTCAGTTGTGAGTCCGTATAACGGGAGCAACCAAGCCACCCTTTCCACCTTCCCCACAATGCTCTAAAGACAGAGCGGCGACTGAGAGGGACATGGCCATCCCCGGACCAAACTGCAGCCCAGCGCCCAGGCTGATCTCAAAGGGCCAGGAAGGGTGAAGGAGCGTTCCACCCAGAGACATCCTGAGAAGCACCTACTGGGTGCAGATCGGGGTGTGGCCTGAACACCCCTGACGTTTCCGGTCCATCGGACGGCCAGGAACGGCACCTGCACAACTGGCAAAAGGCACAGCGGCTTCGAAGAGTGCCGCCAACCGCCGGCCGCCGTGTGGTTACACCCTCCCACCAGCCCTGCCCCAGCCGGTTCCTCCTTCTGCTCCCGGGAAGCTCTGCCCTGACCAGTGTCAGCTCCTCTCATTAGCGATCAGCCTCTGCATTATCACTTCCTTTGCACTGTCACTGAGGCCACAGAAACGTAAGGGAGAGAGTGACATAGCCCTGCCCACGGGTGCTTCCTCCAAGCTCCCCCCAGTGACATCGTGCAGAGACTCGCACTTAGGGACGGACTAGCTTGGCCTCCCAGAGGCGGCCCTCCAGGCCGGCGCTGGACCTAAGGAGACAGGTGACAGGGAAAACGGTCACCAAAGCCGTCAGGAAGGCTCCACCCTGGCGCTGGCTCAGAGTGGGTTCCAGCCAGTGCACGTTTAGAAGACACTGCCAGGGCAGAGCCAGCAGGCTCTACGCTGTGGGCATGCCTGACACACACATCGTCCCCTGCCCTGCTCACAGGTCTGTGCGCCGTTCAAACCCCCTTCTGCACACGAAGGCTTTTTGTTGTTTTGTTGTGTTTCTTGTGGGGTGTTTTGGTTTTTTGTTTCTGTTCGTTTTTGGTTTTGTTTTGCCACTTTAGAATGAGGCCGCTGAGGTCCCAGGGTGGAATCCAGCAACGCGAGCTATCAAAAGGCAGAACCCGTGCTGGGCTCCCATCTTCTGGTCCAAATCTTGCCCAGCACCCTGCGGCCTCCCTTCCTCGTGCAAGTGGGAAAACTGCTTCCATCACTGGGCAGCATGGAGGCCCGACCAACCAGACAAAACTAGGGGCGATAAAAACCCAAAGGGGAGCAAACACATGCTGTTGGCGTTTTCTCTCAGGGAAGCTGGGAAAGCAAAGGCAAGTTGAAGGACCCATGAGAAAATAGAACAGTGACAGCGGATTCCGGGCTGGCAGAAGAAGAAAAACATAGGAAGATGAAGTACAATGAAAATAGGAACAGAGCTCCGGGGTGGACGAGGCTACTCCGTCCCCAGGGCTTTCTTTAGCAGCAGATGGAGAAAGGAAAAATTCGTACAGCTTCCTGGAGAGCCAGGCAAAGGGAAGAAAGAAAGAACAAGCAACATAGAAAGGAGTGAACTTTTGAACAGCCTGAGAAAGCTCTGAGGGTGGGCGTGGAGAAGGCACTGCAGGGGGTGGGGGAGGAGGGATCCTAAATGGGTGTGGGGGGGGATTCTCTCTCGGAGTGGCTAAGGGAGGGTTGGGTAGCCTAGGTAGAGGCTTCACAGTGAAGACGAGCAGAATATAGAATATAAGTGGGAACTGGGAGCCTTTCTGCACAAAAGCGACGCACAAAGCCAGACTGTACAGGACCCACCAATGAAGGAAGTCAGGCGGGGCTTCGGGGATGGCCATTCCCAGAGGCTATGGGCCGGAACCTCCCCTTTTCCAATACCAATAATTATAAGGGGCAGTGGGTCCATAGCAACTTCTCCTGGGGTAGAGGCCCAGGACCCTTACAAAAGGATTCCATGATTCAAAATATCACCGTGGGCTTGTGCTGTTGCGGAGGCCACCCTACCCCTGTGGTTCAAAGCTCAGTCCCGGGGGGAAGGAGCCTTCTTAGGAAAACACTTGAAGATAAATGGGAGTTAATGGTCATTTAAATGGGATAAATGGTCATGGGAGTACATGGCAAGACAGGATAATGACCTGAAGCTGAGAGACGGGGACCAGGTGGCTCCCCAAACCAGAGCAGCTTGCTGGAAAAGCCAGCAGCATTAGAGGAACCTGACAGTGTGGCTGGTGAGGAAGCCCTGAAGCGTGCTCTCAAAACCAAGATGTAGGTGTGCCTTTTACAGAGAGAGGCTCTGAACTATGCCCCAGCATGATCAGAGGGAGGCTGAACTTCTCAGAAGCATATAAAGGTTCTTCTAGCACCTCTCATAGCATTTAGTCCCTCTTGGCTTAAGTAACTACTGAATTAAAAATTCATTCTTATGGGGGGGGGGGGGGACCTGGGTGGCTCAGTCGGTTAAGCCTCCAACTCTCAATTGTGTTAAAAATTTTTTAAATATTTATTTGTTGGGGGGGGGGGGAAGGGGCTGAGAGAGAAGTGACACAGAATTCCAAGCAGGCTCCAGGCTCTGAGCTGTCAGCACAGAGTCCAACATGGGGCTCAAACTCACAAACCACCAAGATCATGACCTGAGCCACCCAGGCACACATCCGCCCTCCCCCCAGCCCCCACCTCCAACTCCCGATTTTGGCTGAGGTCATGATCTTTTGGTTTCTTGGGTGGAGCCCCAGTCAGGCTCTGAGCTCCCATGGAGGAGCCTACTTGGGATTCTCTCTCTCCCCACCCCTCTGTCTGCACCCCTCCCCTGCTTGTGCACGTGTGCATGCTCTCTCTCTCAAAATAAATAAGCATTATAAAAACATCATCCATATGGGTAAAATGACACAACATCTGGGATTGGCCTTAAAACTCTCAGGCAAAGGCTCAGGTCTTGAGTCTTGATTTTGGTTCAGGTCATGATCTTGCTCTTTGTGAGTTCTAGCCTCTCCTTGGGCTCCACACTGATGGTGGAGCCTGCTTGGGATTCTCTCCCTCTCTCTGTCCCTCCACAGCCACAGCCACAGCCACACACACACACACACACACACACACACGTTGCAAATTCTCTCTCTCTAAAGTAAAAAAAAAAACACCAAAAACTCCAGCAAACCAAAAAGCTGGGGGAAGGGAGAGAAGAAACATGAGGAGGAAAATGTCACCGGTATTAAAGCCGAGCAAGGTAAGGGAATGTATACCAGTGGACCTCACCCTGCCCTTTCCAGACTGTCAGCATCACCTGGGACACACGCGCGCGCGCGCACACACGCGCACACACACACACACACACACACACGTTGCAAATTCTCAGGCTGGAGTAGGGGACCCCGCATCTACTAAATAAAAACCTGTAGCGGTGGGTGCCGCAGCCTGGGTTTTACCAGGCCCTTCCCAGGCTTCTACTCTGTGATTCCGACGCCTGCTCAAATTTGAGACCCACTGCATTACACCATTTTCTTTCCAGCGGTGTTTGTGCGATTATTTCCATAATAAAGGCATTTAAAAAACAACCACCACCGATCCCTGGGGGCATTTGTGTTGTTGAGTTGTTTGTTTCTCACGTCGGTTGTCTTCAATTGCTATTTAGCCATTGTTTTGATCTTTTCCTGGAGCCAGAACAAAACGCCAGGAAGCAGATGCGACTGCGACCCCCGCCCGCCGCGGTTTGCGAACGTAAACTTCCCGAGCGGCGCGCACACCGCTCGCACCTGCGCAGCCGCGTCCGCACCGCGGCCCCCGCGCGGCGTGCGGGGCGCCCTTCGGGGAGGCCTCCCGCCCGACGGCGCGGCCGCCCGGGGCCCCGGACCCCCTGCGGCTGGCGGGGCGCGGGTCCCGTGACGGCTCCTGACGCCCCGTCATCGCAGCTCCAGGAAGAAGGGCAGGACGCGAGTGGGGAGAGCGGGGCCGGGCCGCGGGGACCCCGTCCGGCCGCGTCGCCGCCTCCCCGCGGCTGGGGCGCGTGGGCGCGAGGGCGAGGCTCGGGGCGGCCGCGGCGGGGGAAGGGTTAAGAAGCGGGGGCCCCTCCCCCTCCGCACCCCTCCCCCCCGCGCTGTAAAACAATCCCTTTGTTTCCTCTTTAAGACGTTAGCCTCAGGGGCCATTATAGGAAAGAAAGGTAGCCCGGCCCTTTCATCTGCGGGAATCCATTAAGCGCGGCCTTGCGCAGCGGCCGCTCCTTTCTGGTCCGCTTCTCGAGGGGGCCCTGGGGGAGCCAGACGCACCTGCACCCCCATCTCACGGCCGGCCCCCAGGGAGCTGCAGTTGGGGGGGAGGAGCCCCCGTCCGAACACGAGAGTTCAAGGGAGTCGTGGGGCTCCGCCGCTCTGGGGTGTCTCCAAAGTGCCCAGTTTCGCATCTTCCTGCACCCCCCCCCCCCGTTAGGGAGGATGAACTTTCGCCTGCTGGGCGGGACGTGCCCTCGCCTGGCTTTCGGGGCGGCGGGCGCCCTGGACGCCCCCGGGGCGCGGGAAGGAGCGCACGTGGGTGTGCGGGCCCGGCGCGTGCGGGGGACGCGCGTTTCTCCCCTGGGGGCCGGGCGGGGGGCCTTGGCTTCTCGGGAAGCGGCCCTCGAGGTCTCGTGCGGCCCTTCAGAAAGTAATCTAGTACCGATTAATCATTTATACCTTCCCCGGAGAAGCAGTCGCCCCCGGAGCGCGCTTGCCTGTGCGCTCGGTCCCCGGGTCTCCAGGCACCACGAGGGGACAGACTCCGGGCAGGCCCGACGCACCCGCGGCCCGAGAGAGAGTGGCTCTGAATTCTGTCTCCACCGGGGCGGCCGCAGAGGAGGAAAGGGGTGGGAGCCACCCAGGGCCCTGGGAAGGACCCGTGTGGTCCTTAGGGGGAAGGCTATTCCCTTTTTGAAATCGCCAACAATTCGGATTGTTGAGAGGAGCGCAGGTGGTGGGAAAGCAAGAAAACAGAACAGAACAAAACAAAACTCTTTAAATTCTCAGTTGTTTCCAGGCCAGAGACGGAATATCCAGTCTGCAGGTCTCCTGCCTGAAGTCTCTGCGGAACGACCTTCTTTGGATCTTCTGCTCCTTCGCCATGAATATAAATATTCTCTCCACTTACCATATGTTACCCACGCACTTCCACAGACCCCGCCGCCCCTGCCCTGCTGGGATGCTCGCAAAAGGGAAGTCTGCCCTCCCTCGGCCGGGAGGGCGGGGGGAGGAGGGGGCAGCGTGGTTTAAGGGACAATGTCACTTTCCTCTTCGTCAAGATTCTTTGTCAATTGCTGGGGAAATAATTGACCTCAAGCTACTTCAGTCACAACCAATAGAAAAATGGAATGGTGATGTGTCCAGCTGTTACGGGGAGGCAGGCACGCAGGCTGCAAAACAAAGGTGGCCAGGAGCTGGGCTGACATGAAAAATATGTAAAGCTTCTTGATGGGGTTCTCGGGAAATGGAGGGATTGCGCTGAAAAACAGAACAGACAGACAAAAACTAGAATTCTGTTCATTTGCCGTACCTTCAAGTTTACGGTCCTTATTTATGCCCTTGGACGGCTGTAAAGGAAAATCCGGCACAGAAGCCCTTTAATGCAGCTGAGTCTTTTCGGATCTCTGACCCTTTCCTTAACTTACACAATGGTTGGTTTTCCCGACATCCTCCACTCAATCAGCCGCCAGAATGACTCAGTTCCCTCTGATGCAGGGGCCCAGGGAAGGATTTGAGAGTTCAGTGAGTATTGTTGGGGGGTGGGGGGGGTTGTTTGTAAGCAGTGGGAGAAAGCGCAGGAGGGAGAGGGGGCTCCAGAAGGAGTGAGGAGAGCCACCGGAGAGAACGCCAGGAGGAAACTCAGCGATGGCAGAGCGTGGGCTCCTTGCGAGAAATGATGGTCAAGAGCGGTTGGTAACACAGATCTCATGTTTCAGACCGCAGGATGTCCCGGTTAGGAAGTTGATCCTGCTCCAGGTTGGACCAATCGCCAATCGGGGAAAAATCAATCAGGACATTTGACACCCCCGGCGTGGTAACCGCAAGAACAATATCCAACAGGAGCTCCTGAACATTGTCTTCTCACAAAGAGGGCTCAGAAAAAACTCCAGATGCTACAACAGCAGCCTGAAAGCGTCAGCGGTCCACGTTTGCTCCTCTGACGGGAGACTAAGCCAGCATGGCAGGTGTGTGTCCAGAGCCACCCTGCAGGCGATCTATGGTCCCTGCCTTAGCACTGAAACACCCAGAGGGTGAGGCGGAATGTCAGGCGGGCACAGAGCCCTCCCCCGGGCAGGAGAGTCCGCAGAGCCCATGCACGTACGTCTCCAGGGCCACCATCTTCTCCGAGGACTTGCAAGCAGTGGTGGGTACGTGAGCAAGTCATCGTGAAAAGAAAGCGCATCGGTGCCCCGAAAGTGCATCACGGCAGCTCCACGCGGACCTGCAGAGACAAATACCGTCCAGTGTCGCTGTAGGAATGTGACACGGCGTGCACACGCTTCTCAAGCAGAAGTTTTGAAATGCGTGTGCCTTCTCTAAGAACCTCGGAGAAACAGGCTCATGGGCACGTTCCAAACCTCTCCCACTTGTCACACGTGCTTTTGGGGATCTTCTCTGAGTCCCTGCAAGCCTTAGCTTGGCTTCTCTGATTTGCTAACCCACCAGCGGCGTGGGGTTCACGCGGAGAAAGAGAGGCCGCTGAAGGAGTTCTCCAGGTGACGTCATTGTTTTGAAGCGGCTGACCCCCACTGCGTCTGAAGTAAAGGGATTGTTTTCATGTACCATCCTTGAAGAGAACCGGATCTGGACTAGTTTTGTTCTGGATGGGTCTAGAGCTTTTGTTCTCAAATCTGACAATTGCTGAACATGGGTATTTTAATTGTGCCCATTAAGCACCCCTCCCCGGTGCAACCTCACCTAATGGTTCAAAGATGAAGCCTTTGAGCTGGCTGTCTAGTAATGGTAATGGATTTGCACTGAACTCCTCGTGTTCTCCCTGGTGACCCCTGCCATTCATTTGCAAGGTGGGAAACCAAGACTGGGGTGAAGTCTATGGCCATAGTAGTTAGTAAGGCTAATTGGCCCACGTGAGAATGAAACCTGTAGCTCGGCCTCATTAGCTCTGCATTAAACCTAACACAGCAAAGTACAGTTGAGCGGACATAACTCTCGCCTGGAATATATTTGTAATTTGGTAGAATTAAATAAGGTCCTAAGTGAACACTGCCAATTCTGCAAGATGTTCAGGACAAAACAGAGGACATCAGAGGAAGGTGCCAATCAATAGTCTAGATTTATGAAAATTAAGTGCTTTTAAAATATATGGTTTTCATTCGGCAAACAATTTATGTCTAAACGTCTTAAAACACCGCATCTTATTGTGTGTAAATTATGATCCTATTTATGTAAAAAAAAAAAAAAGACGAAGGAAAAGCTGATCAGAAATAATCATAGTTTATGCGTTTTTATTTAGACAGCAGGATTATAGGTAAACGGTTTTTCCTCATCTCAAATTTCCTAACATGCTGTTGAGTGGCTACACCTACTATTTAATGGAACAAAAATACATGATCATTCTATAAACACTTGTTAATACCCATGCATAGGAATCACTGTAAAAAGTCGCAGAAGCACAATCCCTGTTTTCCAGGCAAACGGAGGCTTGCACAAGAATTACACGGAAGTAAAAGGAGGAAAGGAACAGTTAACTGAGTGCAAGCATTTCACGGTGTTCTCTCGTGCGATTCTCTCTCCTGGGAAGTGGGCACTGACTTTACACAGTAGGGGTCAGAAGCTCTGAGAGGACCGTACACGCAAACTGCCCGCGGTCCTCCGGCGAAGGAGACATTCAGGCAGTTCTGTGGCCGTGCCGTTTCCTCCCTGCTGCACAGAGCAGGGGCGGCGGTGGCACAGTTAATGGGTTACACAGGAAACCGTGTACCAGCGTCGTGTCTGGTCAGAAGTTCTGTATCGACAGTATACAGAATCACACACCTCCCCTCCCCCAGAATCACACCCCTACACACGTACATACACACACATGCGCGCACACACATACGTATACACACTAACACGCACACATATACATACACACACTTATACATATACACTAAACACGCACACATACACATATGTATACACACTAACATGCACACATATACACACATACACTTACACATACATATGCACTAACATGCACACATATACATACACACTAACACACACATATACATACACACTTATACACATATGTATACACGGTAACATGCACACATGTACGTACACACGTATGTATACACACTAACATGCACACGTATACACACGTATACACACTAACACGCACACATATGCACACATGTATACACACTAACATGCACACATACACACATACGTATACACACTAACACGCACACTTGTACCCACACTTATACACATATACACACTAACATGCACACATATCCATGCACACATACACCAATAAGCATACACACATATACAAATGCACACATACATGCATGTATACATATAAACACATACACACACCTGTGCGTGTACACACACATACACACATGCAGGGGCACACACACACATTGCTGTTACCGCCTGGACCACGGATGATCACCTGACGTGAAGTCGCCGTACCATTAACTTCTAAGTGCCGATCAGGTCCTCTCTTCTCAAGAATGTGAATAAACAGTGTGGTCAAGTCCACGGGCACCTGGGTGGCTCAGTCAGTTAAGCGTCCAACTTCAGCTCAGGTCATGATCTCACAGCCTGTGGGATCGAGCCCCGCGTCGGGCTCTGTGCTGACAGCTCAGAGCCTGGAGCCTGCTTTGGGCTCACCATTCCTCCCCCTGCACACTCTCTGTCCCTCTCTCAAAAACAAATAAAAGATTTTTAAAAAATTGGTAAAGATGGTGGTGAGGTCCACAGGAGGCTTCTCACGCAGGCGGCCGTCAAGTCCTTCGGCAGGTGAGAACAAGAGTCATCTCCGGAGAGGACAGACATGGAGGCTGGAGACCTCACACGTCAGCACAGAGGGGAGTGCAGGGTAGGTGAAGGTTCAAGTGCCATGTGGCCACACTGTCCTGTATAGGCCGGAAAAGTCATTCCCATCCTCACAGCTTCCCCGTGAGCATCACACCCCATGAAGCTCTCTGTACCCTAACAATTCCATACTCTTTTTGAGCTAGTGTGAGTGCATTTCTCTCCTGACCACCACAGGATCTCCGGCTACCGCAGGAATTAACACACACATCGTCGCAATGATTTTTCTCAAGTCCTTCCTGGCTTTCCCAATGATGACCATTGTCCCCAAACTCACATCCACTTGCAAGTCTTTCAGGAACCTCAAACCTAAGGTGCACCAAAGCAAACCTGCCTCTTCCCTTTCATGCTTCCCCAAATATTCCCGACCTCAGCAGTGCTCCCGACCCAAGGCTCAAGTCTGAAATCTGACCTTCCCCTTTCTGGAGCAAGTCCTCCCCAGTGGTGGTGCAGGCACCACACACACACACACACACACACCAGCATTGAAACCCCTTCCATGGCTTTCCATGGCCTAGCAGGGTCCAATCAAAACTCCCGTGCCCGCTCTACAGTGCCCTGTGCATTGTGCCCTCGCCCGTCCTGTCTCTCAGCGTGGCCATGCTCTGCCCAAGCTGAACCTTCTTCATGTCCTCAAAAATGCCATGCTTCTCTCCCGAAGGACTTTGTGTGCCCCGTTCCCCTCCATGAAGAACCCTTCCTCTCCCCGGCTGCCTCCTGCCCTCCTCTCGCGCTTTAGCTTAGATTCCATGGCCTCCAGAAAGCCTCATCTGACCCTCTGAGCTTAAGGTTAAGCATCCCTAATATGCGGTCCTGCGACCTTCCATATCTGACTACCCGTCGCACGTACTGACCTTCAAGGTCATTGCTGGTTTGTATTATCTGCCTCCCCTGCTGGACTGTGGGCTGCAGGCAGGCGTATCCCCAGTGCGGTGACCACAGTACATGCGTAGGAAATGGTGGAGGAATGAATGCGTTAATGCCTCAAAGCAGTGCTCACGCTCAGGACAACACGTAGACCTTTTAGTGAACTGGCTCTTCTACTCATTTTGTCATGGCTCGTACTCTTCAGATCCGGTGCGAGTCCCCGAAATAGAAGTTGGGAACTGGGACCGGGAACAACAGTTACTATGTACCGTGACTATTATTAGCACACCTGAAATCTCCCCTCCCTTTCTACGCTGGGCCAATAGCTTATACTCTAATTAATCTGACCACACTTTGACTCTCTATGCCTTCATGGTGAGTCTTTACCCAGGACTCTCTAGGATCTTCATGCAAATCAGTCTCAGAAGCCTTTCCAGAAATTGCCCCCAACATCAAACGTGGGGTGAGGAATCTCCAGCACGCGCTGAGTTCTTGTCCAGTGAGGCTGAGATAAGATAACAGAGCAGGCCGTTCTCTCTCTCCCACGGGCTGCCTATGTGGCCCAAGCAGTCCACATCACCGGGGAGCACTCGGAGCGTGGGGGGCAGGTTGGGTAGCGACTGGACACCCACAGCGCGAGTGCTCAGGAACTAGATGTGCATGATGGCCTTGGAAAGAAAATAGTTACGCGATGGACACACTGAATGAAGATGCTTCAGACCCAGAGTGTCAGAAGGCGGAGGTAGGAGCTGGGAGGAAGTGGATTCAGGAGAGGTTGGAACCAGCATGGCCCGGAGAATGGAGTCATACATTTGCGGGTCAGGAGAGGGTTTCTGATTTAGAAGGAAGGTGGTACTTTGGTTTTCAGACAGATTGGGTTTGTGACAGCACATGGAGTCATAAAGTCACAACTTTAAGTGAAAGTCGTAAGAAGTCAGCCGCAGAAAGGGATGACGATCAGGAAGGGACCCACGTAGAGCCGACGGTTGCCGGATGGATAGGGGAGATTCTACGATGTGAGCCAAATACAGGGCCAGCAGGAGCTCCGTCGTTCAGTCTAGAAGACCAGGGGACACCGGGAGACAGAACTTCAAGTAGACAGAGAAAGCCAAGATGAGAGGCCATCCAGAACATGGTGTGAGGTCACAGGGACCCAGACGGTAAGGAGTTGGTTTGCAATCGTCAATACTGCTCATATTATCTGTGCCCTTGCTGTGGGCTGGGCATGTTTCAAGGAAGTCCTCATCAATGATCCCATTTAATCCTTTCAGCAAGAATTCACTCAGTGACATGGGTGCTGCTATTATCCTTGTTTTACAAATGAGCTAACTTTGGCTCCGAGAAATGGGACAACTTCTCAAGGCCATACGGCCAGTAAAATGCAGAGCTAAGATTCGAACCCGTTATCTTGGGACGCCACTGGATCTTGGGAGATGACGAGAAAGATGGCTTGGGGGACATATCGGTTTTCTGCGGCTCTCGGTAGCTGGACAAGACCAAAACAAAGTATTCTGGATGAGAGCGGAAGGAGGAAAAGATAGACGTCTAAACACCCTGATTCAGTGAGGCACGGACAGGGAGACAGTCAGATCGGTGAGAGAAGGAGCCGGGGACCTCTAGACTCAAGTCCCCGCTTCTCCTCCCTGGCTGCTTCTGCCTGGACGAGAGCAAGGGAGGCCCCTCCAGAGCCTTCTCCCCGGCCTGACTGGAAATGCAGCCCCAGGGTGCCATTCTGGGAACTTTCCAGGGCTGGGGAGCCGGTGATGGAGAACAGCTCCTCCACTTACTTCCCAGAGCCCCTGTGGCGAAGTCCCTGCAAGCCCAGAAGGCGGGAGAGGCCCTGACGGGAGAGGGATGTAGGCCCCCAAGCGAACCCCAGACATCACTGGGGGGCTTGCCTGAGGCAAACTCCAGCGGGGACAAAGGTGGAGGAACCAAAGGACCACGTCTGTCAACTCCTGCCCTTGGTGCTGGGCCGGACCAGAGGGACCTCAGAAGGGACGCCCCAGACCTCCTTAAACTTGAAGCAGATCGAGGGGCCTGGGTATCAGGCCAGTGGGAGAAAGGAAGGCCACTGCAGGTGAGAGGGGACTGCTTCCGGTGGCCACAGACCGCTCCTGAGGGAAACGCTGGTCTTGGCTCCACATGCCAAAGGCTCTGTCACCTCAGGACTAGGTAACACCACCCGCTGACCAACTCCACAAGACACACACCGCTGCACCTTCCCCTCCCCCACCCAGACACCATTTTTTGCTCCACAAGAGCTGCTGTGTCTTCTGCTTCCAGTCAGCATTGCTGGCTTTTACATCAAGGCAGAGAAGACTTGCAGGTAAAGGGGACGGCGTCTGAGCTCCCGCTGTTTTGCTGGTCTGCATGTAGGAGCGAATGAGGGCCGAGGCCGGTTGCGGGCCGGCTCTAGGTTAGGACAGCGCCCCCTGGAGTTGTGCAAATTGCCAGCTCTGGCAAGCACGGAAAAATCCATGGTGACGCAACCCTGCGCCTCCTCTGCACCCTGTTTCTCTCCAAGCCGGTGACACAGGCCTTTTTCCGTGGCTGAAGCCACCCATCCCAGCCTCAGGCCTTCCTGAGACTCGGCCTGCACTCTTTCCCCCAAGAGGCACCATGGCTACCTTCCTTTTGTTTCTAGATCTCAACTCAAACATCAGCTCCTCAAAGAGACTCTCTCCCTGTCCTGTTTCGTTATTTTTAAATTTTAATGTTTTATTTATTTCTGAGAGAGAGAGAGAGAGAGAGAGAGAGAGAGAGAGCATGAGCAGAGGAGGGTCAGAGAGAGAGAGACACACAGAATCTGAAGCAGCTCCAGGCTCTGAGCTGTCAGCACAGAGCCCGACGCGGGGCTCGAACCCGTGAACCATGAAATCAAGACCTGAGCTGAAGTCAGCCGCTTAACCGACTGCGCCCCCCAGGCGCCCCTCAAAAGTTATTTTTAAACTTATTTACCAGTTCTACCCCGTCCACCCCCCACAGACTAGAATATGAGCCCCATGAGAGTGTGACCCCTGCGTGTCTTTCATTCTCCTGTGTCCTCTGCACCTAGGAAAGGACTAGGCTTTCCCAGAAGCTTCTCAGGAAGCATGTGTCAAAAGGAATCCATTTGAATTGAAGTTTCAAACACTGAAGTTTCAGACCAAAGGTTTAAAATAATTTGATTGTAAGCAAGTGAAAACATTTCATTACAAATAATCATTTTCGCACATCCTTCAAAATGACTGTCTATTTTCTCCCTAATGGTTTGCCTGTCTCCTTTCATCCTGCAGATACTACGCCGGGAACGTTGGGAATACATGTAAACCCCCGATGGTTTAAGGGAAACCTACGACTTTAAAAAGACGGTTGCCACTGAAGACTGTATAAAACGCGCTGTAAAAGGAAAACCTCCAAAGGAGATCAAGGGCATCAGGAGTAGGGCGTCTCCTTTTTTGAACAGTTCCTAGGTGGTGCCTGGCCAGCTGCTCCACCCCAGTAAAATAGACCAGCAGGGAAACCCGCCTGTGGCCTGGCTTAACCCTTCGCTGGCCCTCACCTCAATAAGATGCTGGCAAAGATCAGAAGAATTCAGGCACTACTTGCTGCCTGGAAGAAAACAGCAAACGGGAGGGGGGAAAAAGACTGATTCCAATGTCACTCCCCACCCCCAAGCTTTCTTCTCCCAAAGAGCCTTCTGTTCACAGAAATTAAAGGACTCTGATAGCAGATCACAAATTCAGAACAGAAAAGCTTCACTATGTAGCCAGAGACTGCATTGTCGGTAACCAGACGTTGGACACTTTTTTTTGCTTATGAACTTTTGGAGACCATTCGAATAAAAGACTATTTGTTCCTGGACAAACACTCAA